CTGATGAGAATCTTAGATCTCAAGATCAGAATCTACCCATTGCTCTCAGAAAACAAATTCGATCATGTACTCTCCATACCATTTCAAAATTTGTATCTCATAATGCTCTATCTATGGGTTTTTGTACCTTTACAGCTAATCTTGATAAAACAGAGATCCCATAAAATATTCAAGAGGCCTTGGAATCTCCAAAATGGAGAGAGGCAATAATGGAAAAAATGAAAGCTTTGGAAAGAAATGGAACTTGGGAAGTGGTAAACCTACGAAAGGAAAAGGACAAATAGGCTACAAATGGGTCTTTAATGTGAAATATAAAGCTGATGGAACGATAGAACGCTATAAAGCTCATCTAGTTGCCAAAGGATATACTCAAACATATGGCATTGACTACACAAAAACATTCGCACCAGTGTCAAAACTAAATACAGTTCGGATTTTGTTGTCACTAGCAGTGAATCTTGACTGGCCTCTTCAACAATTAGGTATTAAAAACGCATTCCTCAATGGAAAACTAGAAGAGGAAGTTTTCATGAAACTACCATGGCAGGACTGAATAGAGACCTCGACAACGTCAGAGGAAGAATACTTGGTCAACGACAATTGTCGTCCACTCGCGAGGTATTTGCAGAAGCCCAGCAAGAAGAATCGAGACGGCAGGTCATGATGAAAGATGCTGGGTTGAACGAAGGATCGACTCTAATAGTTAAAGGAAGTGGGCCTCAATATTATAAAGAAAATGGGTCAGCTAGGGTCAACCTAAGAATGGGTCACTTGACGGGCCAATTCAAACAAGTTGGGCCTGGATTAGAAGAAGGCTTTGGACCAGCAAGGAAAAATGAACAAGGAGCGTTGGGCTTATCATCAAGAGGACTTACAAACGGGTCTACTCAAAAACAACGGGGACGACCATGGTGTGAGCATTGTCGTAGGCCAGGACATAAAGAAGACACGTGTTGGAAAATTCACGAAAAACCCACTGATTGGAAACCAAGGCAAAACAGTAGGAGTCGAGGGTACCAAGTAGAGACTGAAAATAATTTAACTCCAAGCGGCGCTTTCAATTCGGAACAATTGGAGTAACTCCATCAGATGTTCTCGAGTTTTCAAACAACTGGTCAATCCTTCCTTAAAGGTCCCTCTAGCTCACTAGCCCACAAAGGTCACTTTCTTAAAGCCTTAAGCACCTCACGACACACAACTGCTTGGATTATTGACTCTACTTCTGATCACATAACGGACTCGTACCACCTATTCTCTTCATATTCAACTTGTGTTATAAACATTAAAGTAAAAATTGCAGATGGCTCACTTGCATCTGTCGCAGGAAAGGGGAGTATTCGAATCTCCGAGTCCTTAACACTGGAATATGTCCTCCACGTCCCAAAATTGTCTTGTAATCTGTTATCTATTAGTCAGTTGACAAAAAACTCTAATTGCTCTGCTAATTTCTATCCATCATATTGTGTCTTCCAAGACCTTTCATCAGGGAAGACGATTGGCAATGCTAAAGAGTGTGGGTGTCTGTACTACTTTGAGGAAGCTAATGTGGGTAAACAAAGTCAACTTTTAAGTTGTAATTTAGCATTTATTCCTAGTGATAGTGAAATTTTGTTATTGCGCAGTAGAATGCATCCGAATTCACAATACTTGAAACGTGTTATCCCTTCCATTTTCATGAATAAAAATTCTATTGAGTTTCAATGTGAAAGTTGTGAATTTGCAAAGCATCAACATACATCTTTTTCAAATTCCATATACAAACCATCTAAACCTTTTCCCATGATTCGCAGTGATTTATGAGGCCCTTCCCGCAATATCAACCGTACTCAAACAAAATGGTTTGTCACATTTATTGACAACCACATTCGAGTATGCTGGGTTTACCTACTAAAAGAAAAAAATTGATGTTCATTCAGTATTTATAAATTTTCACTATATGATTCAAACCCAAATTCAAATTTTGCGCACTGATAATGACACAGAATATTTCAATACCACCTTACAAGATTATCTTACACAACATGGGGTAATCTACCAAAGCTCATGAGTCAATACTCCCCAACAAAATGGGATTGCTGAACGAAAAAACAGACATCTACTCGAAATTGCTCGTGCCCTAATGTTCACCACAAATATGCCAAAAACATTCCGGGGAGATGCCAGTCTAACCTCTACATATCAACAGAATGCCTAATCGCATCCTCTCCTTCGACTCACCTATACAAAAACTCCAGAAACACTTTCCCACTTCTCGTCTTAGTTCAGACCTACCTCTAAAAGTATTTGGAAGCACTGCATTTGTGCATGTTCACTCTCATCATCCAAACAAACTTGAACCACGTGCAATCAAATGTGTATTTACTAGGTACTCACCTACTCAAAAGGGTTATAAATGCTATGATCCGTCTATAAGAAGGGTCCTTGTCAGTCTTGATGTTACCATTTTCGAAAATACACCCTACTTCCAAAAACCTTCTCATCAGGGGGAGAACATAAGTGAAGATTGGTTCTTAAATCGGGAATTCTTAAATTTCGATCTTTCCTCACCGGACCCAACATATACTGATCCCATCACCTTACTTCCTAATGTGCCATATACAGAAGGAAACTTGAATCCAGAGGGAGATACTAAAAAACAAAGTGATAAGGAGATACTAGTCTACTAAAGGAAGCCCAAATCAAATTATAAGGAAAACTTCACACTTGAGGTACCAAGAGAGTCGGAACCAGTGATAGGACCTGATGAGAATCTTAGATCTCAAGATCAGAATCTACCCATTGCTCTCAGAAAACAAATTCGATCATGTACTCTCCATACCATTTCAAAATTTGTATCTCATAATGCTCTATCTATGGGTTTTTGTACCTTTACAGCTAATCTTGATAAAACAGAGATCCCATAAAATATTCAAGAGGCCTTGGAATCTCCAAAATGGAGAGAGGCAATAATGGAAAAAATGAAAGCTTTGGAAAGAAATGGAACTTGGGAAGTGGTAAACCTACGAAAGGAAAAGGACAAATAGGCTACAAATGGGTCTTTAATGTGAAATATAAAGCTGATGGAACGATAGAACGCTATAAAGCTCATCTAGTTGCCAAAGGATATACTCAAACATATGGCATTGACTACACAAAAACATTCGCACCAGTGTCAAAACTAAATACAGTTCGGATTTTGTTGTCACTAGCAGTGAATCTTGACTGGCCTCTTCAACAATTAGGTATTAAAAACGCATTCCTCAATGGAAAACTAGAAGAGGAAGTTTTCATGAAACTACCACCAGGCTTCAATAGAAGAGACGAGGAAAATCAAGTGTGTAAACTCAAAAAATCTTTGTATGGGCTCAAATAGTCACCAAGAGCGTGGTTTGATAGATTTGCAATGGTATTAAAAAAAACAAGGATATCAGCAAGACAGTCAGATCATTCCATGTTCTTCCAACAATCCAAAGATGGGACAAAGACTACCTTAATTGTATACGTGGATGATATAATCATAACAGGAGACAACATAGTTGAGATGGAAAGATTGAAAAAATGCTTAGCCGCTGAATTTGAAGTAAAAGACATAGGACAAATGAGATACTTCTTGGGAATGAAGGTTGCAAGATCAAAGAAGGGTATTAGTGTTTCACAACGGAAATACATCCTTGACCTTTTAACTGAAACTGACATGCTGGGATGCAAACAAAGTGATACACCTATTAAGGCGGGAAAATCATCAAAGGACTCAGGAAAATTAGTGGAAATAGACAGATATCAAAGACTGGTCGGAAAGTTAATTTATCTCTCACGCACAAGACCTGACATAGCTTTCGCAGTTAGCATATGCACTCTCCTAAAGAGACATACTTGGAAGTTGTTTATAAAATTCTCAAATATCTAAAAGGCATAGCTAGGAAAGGACTACTTTTTGAAAAGGTTAAAAGGAGAGGAGTGGAAATCTTCACAAATGCAGACTGGGCTGGATCAACAGAAGATAGGAGATCTACTGCGGGCTATTGCACCTTTGTATGGGGAAATTTTGTAACTTGGAGAAGCAAGAAACGGTCTATAGTGGCGAGAAATGGCACTGAAGCTAAGTTTAGAGCTATCGAACAAGGGATATGTGAAGGATTATGGATAAAGAAACTCTTGGAAGAATTAAAAGTCGGAATAGAACTTCCTATCAAACTCTATTGTGACAACAAGACAGCGATCAACATCTCTTTCGACCCAATACAACATGATCGAAGTAAACATGTAGAAATGAACAGACATTTTATCAAAGAAAAAGTGGACGATGGAATTATTTGTATGACATATGCCCCTACAAAAGAGCAAACATCAGATATCTTCCCTAAAGGACTATCTAAACAAATTTTCAATAACTTCAATTGCAAGTTGAACATGGTCAATATCTACTGTTCAACTTGAGGGGGAGTGTAGGAAACCGAGAATGACTTGGAAGGAAAGTGTAAATATTTAGAGATTGTACTATTAGAATAATTGGTAGGATTATGTGTTTCCTTTCTTAGAAGATTATTATTATTTTTTCCTTTTTTTCTTCATCTTGTGTAGTATAAATAGATAGTAATTAGGAACGTTCAATATATCAAGAAATAAAGACATTCTTATTTCTCTTCACAGCTTAAGCTTGGACATATTCAGAGAGAAAATTTAATAATTTAGGTCTAAAAATGTAGTACACAGAACTACTAATGGTAAACACAATATGAAGTCCATGATTGAACCCAATTCTTTAAAACTCATTTTTCCCCAAATTCATTTATCAACCACACATTCTTCCAATAAAATAATTTTGCAACTAAACCCAAAACTTTTTCCTACTTTTTAAATACACATTCTCCAAAGAAATCAATTTTTACAAAATATATTCTCAAAAAAATTGATTAAACTGGGGCTAAATTATATAGGAAAGTATCGCATATAATACTTCTTTACAGAAATATAAATCCTATATTCAACATTCTTGGAAATCATCAGACAGTTAAAAGTACCTCGCAACAAGAGGATAACACTCTTTCAGCAACACCAATATTCTTGACCTGAAATTGAAAGCAGAGCCCAGTAAGATGAAGCGTGAGGATATAAAAATGGAATAATTCAAGGCAGATCAGTCAAACCAAAATGAAAACCCATATAATGAACGAATCAGAGGTGTGGCAATGCTTTTCCCTCAACTATTTGTTCTAGATTGTGACAAGAGTAAACACAAAAAAGATGTACAATTAGGAGATTAATCATAATACATAATGCGTGTTTTCAGGTAAAAAATAAAAAATAAAATAAAAAAAATAAATTAAAAAAAATTAAAAAAATAATAATAATAATAATCAGACTAGAAAACCGGGTGTCTTTTAGCCCTTGTTTGGGCTCCATTTTAATGAGATTTTGGGAAAATGTATTTGGAATGGTAATTTTTTTTGGGGAGAACGTGAGGTTAAAAAGTGAGGAAAAGTTTCAAATTTATGGGTAATATTATTTTATTGAAGAATATGTGGTTAAAAATGAGTTTTGAAAAAATGTATTTCAGGTTAATGGAGCCCAACCAAGGGCTTACAGTTTTCACAATATGAAACATGAAGGTGAAATAGCAATAAAAATAGATTTTAAAGCAGTTTTGATGCAAATTGCTCTTATTACAGGTATATTAACAGTATCTAGTATCCAGATAGCAAGCGGACAATTTAGAGTGCTTAAACTTACTACCAAACAAGACATGGCTTTCATTTAATAGATACTGCGAGATAATCAAACTTACTTTGCACACAAGAAGTATCTATAGGGCTAATACCTTCCTATTTTTCACCTTCAAACACTTCAAGCACAACAAGCTTAACATTCTTTTCAGTTCACCAACATGGTCAGGATGATATATCGGAGTTGGCAATTCAATGTATCCAAAATGACCTGAATATGTTAACAACACACCAAAAGTTTACAGAACTTGTATCTTCTGAAGAATGTGAGCAGTCATCTTATTCTAGACAAAAAACTTTCTGTTTATGAAAAGTTCTTATTCTTTAAAACTAGATTTTCATACCTTCACATTGCCCCGGCTCTGCAGTCCCACAGGACTCACATCTGCCAGCTTCAAGAGGCAAACCAAGGAAAGGATTGGACAGCTGGCTAGCATGACTGATAGGACAGTCACTAATAGATGCTTTACACTACTCAAAATATCAAGAAACAATTACTCTTCCACCAGAAAAATCAGAAATTGCATTATTCATTGAAATAGTACACAGTAAAGTGCATATTATCAGTTGAAAGCAATTTTCTAGCTTCCTACGTATAAGAGAAAATTGATTAAAATATTAACCACAGCAAACAAAGGATAAGTGCTAAACTCTACCATTATGATTCTGCAGTAACTTGATAGGAGTATTTCAGATTCATGTTATTAAAACTTTTCCATTTTTCCTTTAGAAAATTAGGAAATTAAAATTTTCAACTGGAAAAACAATAAAAGAAAGAACCACTGCATCATGGCCACAGCCATCCTTCTAGAAACTATAACAGTTCAAAGAAAGGAAGTGAAGGAATAATATATACTTACAATTTCTTGACTGGTTGCGAACCCAAATCGGATTCCTGTTATCTTAGCATCAAAAATTGTAGATGATGGATTTTCTTCCATTTCCTTTAGACACTTGAGATTATGGAAGACAGAAAATATTCCAATCCACAATCAGTAATTATTTAGGAAAAGTAGAACAAATGAGTATACCTGTAAAGATTTCAAAACAAGTGTATTTGTTTGTAGTATTCTTGAGGCGAGTTTCATCCTCAGAGCACAAAATACTTTTACACATTAGCGAGAATAACATACTAAATTATATATACTCAGTTTCAATAATTAACTACCCTGCAGCAACACCGAAGCTGGGAGGATTAGCTCAGTTGGCATTTGGAGGACGTAGATGAGTAAAATATGAGCATCAGAAAAAAAGTTACATGAACAAAACTCAGTTAAAGCAGCAGATATTAAAAATGGGAAGCGGAGAGGAAAACAACCCTTCTAAACATCCAACTTCCAGCGTCTATAGAGTACAAACCAAATCTGTTTAACATTTTGACCAAAAAATGGTAAAATGTGGATAAGTGTTGAACTAAAGTCTTTAGATAAATACATTTCGTAGAAAACATCAAAAAATCTCACACACCAAACCGGTGTTTCAACCTCCAAAAAAATCCAAGAAAAGGGGGAGGGGGAAACGAAACCCAAACCTACTATAAAACTCAAATAAATTAATACACAAAAAATAAAAAGCCATCAGAAACAAAAACAATTCTTTGAAATCAGATAAAAAAATCACACGGGTAAATTTAAAAATAAAGGAAAGGTACATTTTCCTTTTTCAAGCCAAAGAAAGAAAATAGACATTTATGTTTACAAAAGCTCGTAAAAACACATACTAGACAACAAATCGGAGCAAAAACCCACATGCAAATACGTGAAAATCCACTTTTAACCCATAGCGTGGGTTACTTCAGAGCCGTAACGCAGTGTTGTAGAACATTGACTTGAGTCAATTACCTGCCCATTCTTACCTTGAAAAGGCAAACTCTGGAAGTACCGCTGTTCCCTCTTCCTTCGGTGCTCTTTAGAGGGTCATCCAAGCAAATGATTCATAAATTTCAACAGCCGAAATATGCATAGAAGCTATGGGTTTCTAGAGAGAGAGAAAGTGTGTGCGATGTAAAAGGGGTTTTAGAGGTATTGTTCACTGTTGTTTTTGTGCACACTATCAAAAACGATAGGAGGATGCTAGATTGTATGATTTTTTCCTGTTTGGCTAAGCTTATAAGTAGATTAAAAATTTTGGGGGTAAGATGCAAGTTTGAACGCTTTTTCCCATTTTTTTAAATCTTCTCTTATGCCTATTTTTGGACACATTTATTTAATTTTATGAAAGTTTTTTTTTAAGTGGAAGAATTTTTAAAGAAAGTTGATCCAAAGTGACCTTCTATAAAAGCAATTCCAAAAAAAAAAAAAAAGAAACTCTCTTAAAAATTTGTTTTCAAAGAAAAATTAAAGTAGTTTCTTTCAAAAGCTTTTCTACAAAAAAATAAAAACAAACGCAAAAATCGCCCTTAATTTGTTGTACAGTATGCTCGTGACTATCGATTGACTAAACCAACCTTCAAAACTAGAGGGATTTACATTGGAATTGCCTCGAGATTTGTTAATTACGAATAATGTGGAACAAAGTGACTAAAATACCCTTTGAACGTGGAAAAATATACCGGTACATGGAGTATGATAGGGAAGTGTACATGGATATAAAAGGTAAGGGAAGGATTATAAAAGCCTGTCTCACGATCATTAATTTATTTTTATGGTTTATTGTAAGACTATTTTCAATCACACATTTAAAAATAAAAGATTTTAAACATTTATTATTGACCCCAAAAAGTATTGCCAATGGATGTTGGACACGTCCGCGCACACATGAGCGAAGGTCCCATACGCTAAGACACGTGGACGGTCTAGAACGAACGAATTAGGAGCGTAGGAGTAGCTTAACGACACGGGACGAGAACGTTCGAAATCCGACGGGATGTTCTTAATTCGATTATACAATAATTACCAATCGATGCTCATGAATATGCATGTAAGTATGTATGAATTCGTATTGTATTATAAAGCAATATGAAAGAGAGAGTAAAGTGTGGTTTCTTGTATTGATTATTGCATTAGCCCTTCAATGTTATACAAGTGAAGTATTTATAGTATTACATGTGAAATGGCAGCCCTTAGATGAGTTGGCACGTGGCCTCATCTCCTTAATTCAAACATCCAATCCTATGCATCATTCTTGATTTGCTAGCTTGCTGCGTATTTATTACTTGTGCAGAACCCCCATACTAGTGTTAAGACTTGACATGTGTACTCATGATAAATGTTCCATCAATCATTCAAACAAGATCTTTATGTAGAAGATCTCTTGGGAAAGGTGATCATGGAAGACGTTCCTTTATGATTCGGAGGCTTCTGCCACTCACATAGTACTTTCGCTTCAGGGATTCGGCTATCTTCGCAGGTCTCGGTTATGGAGTTCGGCTACTTTCACAGGTCTCGGTATATGGACCTCGCCAATACATGCCACCTCGGCTGGAGAGCCACGTGGTTCGGATTGAGTGGATCATAGGCCCAAGTAAGTTGGCCAAGTATGACAACACGTAACATTTATAAAAAATATTCCCCACTTTTTAGCCACACATTCTCTTGTAAAATCACTATCCAATTTATTTTTTCTACAATAATTATTGTCTATCAAGTTCTGAATGTGTGGAGTAATCTCCTATTGCATGTACTGTGGTAAATCTTGAGTTTAATTGGGAGAGTGCCGAGT